CATACCTTGCACGCTCTTTGAAACCCCATAGTCCCTGTTCTGCACAATTATAATAGCTACATAGCCAGTGCATGTTTCTAAACTTGTTTCACAGAAATATTTTGTTTAATATGTGCACATATAATGTATATTGACCACATTAAAATGAATACAAGGGACTCTTGTGGAATGTCACATATAATTGAAAGCCAGAAAGCTTCCTTGATTCTTTCCATTTTGACCTTCAAAAAAATGAAGAGAATCTATGCAGTTTCCTGGCTTTCAATTATATATATATATATATATATATATATATATATATATATATATATATATATATTTATATATGTGTGTGTGTGTGTGTAATACGGTACAATATAATATATCCATTCAAAGCTTAAGAGTATTGGCCTAAGTGAAATAAATAGGACACACATGTGTAAATACTGAATAGTTTCTCTGGTGTGAAAAACTAAAAGTGTAAATAAGGTTCAGATGGTATAATTGAGAATGTGAAATAGGAAGAAAAGGTCTAAAGGAGTAGGGGAAGTGGGAAGGGTTAGGGGAAAGGGAAGAAGGGAAAAGAAAAAATATGAGAAAAAAGGAAAAATGGGAACAAAGTCTCTGTAAATAGGGAAGGGTGGACAGGGAAATGGGGGGAAAACGAGAACTAAGATACATCATGTAAAGGTACAAGATCCCAACGATGAATGTAACTGTATTTTATACCTAAAGTGTACCAATAAACTTAGTGAAGAAAAAAAAGGGAAAAAGAAAGCTTAGAGTATTGGACTCACTTCGATGGCATACACACTGCAATGGATTCGATTCGCAAGTTCATTCTTGTCTGTGAAAGCTGGGTAAGTATTTTGCTCAAAAAACTGTTTCAGGATCTGTAAGTCATCATTTGTAAATCTGTGCGGGGGTCTTCCTCTTCCTTTTCGTCTTCCACATTTTGTGCCTTTTTCTTCGTTATGATGATCTCCTTTTACAGAAGAGCCTAGAAATTGTGGAAAGAGAAAGAAAAGCAGGAGTGAATGATAGTAACACCCAAAGAAAGAAATGGCCATTTGAGTAACCACTCGTAAATTAAGGCATAAAGTTTAAGGTCACCAATACACTTACCGCTCATCAAAATACTGATAGATGTAAACCCATCTTTCAGAAGATAAAATATCTCCCGATATCTTTAAGAAGATAAAATGAGACTCTTAGCCCATGTGTGGTGCCATGGGTTAGAACTAGTAATGCTCTGAATTATGATGTACAAGGATGACTTGGTCAGCAGAAGAAAATCCAAGGGAGCTTAGTGACATTCATTTTTCAATACATTAATAAATAGAATAATTAATTTATCAGTGAAACAATATTGCTTGTGAGTTCCAGAAAAGCAAAGTGTTTTTTAGACATAACATGAATTTGTCCACTATAAAGCAGGAGACAACTAAAAACTACTCAGACGTGTAGAAGACATGTAAAGATATATATATATATATATATATATATATATATATATATATAGCATCACTAACCTTTACATGTGTCTGATGTAGCAGATATGTAAAATTAGTGATGATATATAATTGACACTCTTAATTGACAAATGTCTATATATATATATATATATATATATATATATATATAGCATCACTAATTTTTACATGTGTCTGATGTAGCAGATATGTAAAATTAGTGATGATATA